CCATTTTGCGTGTTTCCCTTTTTTTTAAGCAAGTATTCTTGGTATCCCTCAAGATTTGTAAGCTCACTGCTCTCTGTCGTATGCAGGGATGAGAAAGGAGCTGGCATTCCAAGCTGGATGCTAGGAATGCATTTCTTCATACAGCAGTGGAATTGTAGCCTGCCTGCTTTTTTTTCTTCCATTTCTCTTAGGGTTAGGGTGGGCAGCAGACAAATCTTTGTCAGAGTCATGTTGGCCACTGAGAGGATCTCAGCTTAGTCAGCCTTGGTAGCAGAAGGGTTCTTTGTGTGGTCTGGCTTTGTAGGAGAAGAGACCATGGCGCAATACCAATTGGACAGTAGAAGTGTTCTTGGAACATTCAGGTTGGGCAGCAAAAGGGATCTCGGCATAGTCTACCTAGGCAATAGAAGGCAGCAGAATCTTAGCAGAGGAAGGCAGCAGACGGGAGTTTGGCAAAGGCAAGCTGAGGAGCGGACAAGAGCTTAGCAAAGTCAGTTTGGGCAGACAATATGAGCTCAGCATAGGAAGGCTGGGCAAGCAATTGGAGCCCAGCAGAGGCAGGCTGGGTAGTGGGAGTTTGGAAGCAGAAGTGTGGGCCATAGCTTAGTAGAATAGGGTTGGGGTTGCTTTTGATAGCAGACACGAATTTGTACAAAATTATAGATTTTTACAGGTATTTACCAAAACATATTCAAGCTATAGTTATATAATGGATATGGGCTGAAAGTGCACACTCTCAGGTTTAATTTGATGGTATGTACATCCCAATTGGAGGAAGGGTTTAGGAATTACAGCTCTTAAGAGTTGCTATCCCCCCTTTTTCAAGGGACCAAAAGTAATTGGACAATTGAATAAAAAATCTGTTTCATGGCCAGGTGTGAGCTACTCCATTATTTCTTCATCAGTTAAGCAGGTAAAAGGTCTGGAGTTGTGGTTTTTGCTTTTGGAATGTATTGCTGTGAACCTACATCATGCGTTCAAAGGAGCTGTCCATGCAAGTGAAACAGGCCATTGTAAGGCTTCAAAAACTAAACATATCCATCAGACCATCCCCTCCTCCTCAAAAAACTACACTTGCTTGGCCTCAGAGACTCCGCTCTCTCCTGGTTTCTCCTCCTATCTATTGCAGCGCTCCTTCAGTGTTACCTATAACGCTGCCACCTCCTCTTCACTCCTTCTCTCTGTAGGGGTCCCTCAAGGTTCTGTCCTTGGACCCCTTCTCTTCTCCATCTACACCTCCTCCCTTGGTCTCTTGATAAACTCCCATGGCTTTAATTACCATCTTTATGCTGATGACATGCAAATCTATCTGTCTACCCCTCACCTCACCCCTTCAGTCTCCACCCGCATCGCTAGCCTACTAAGTGACATATCGGCTTGGATGCCACTCCACTTCCTCAAACTCAACCTTTCCAAAACTGAGCTCCTAGTATTCCCCCCTGCCCGTGCCACCTCCACTGACTTCACCATAAATATCGATAACACAATCATTAGTCCATCCCCTCATGCCAGGGTACTAGGTGTAATCCTAGACTTCCATCTGTCCTTCCAGCCCCATCCAATCGCTGACAAAATCATGTAGACTTCACCTCCACAACATCTCCAAGATACAACCATTCCTAACCCCGGAAACCACTAAGCAACTTATTCACTCCCTTGTCATATCATGCCTCGACTATTGTAACTCCCTCCTCATTGGCCTACCTCATCGCAGGCTATCCCCCTTCAGTCTATCATGAACGCTGCTGCCAGACTCATCCACCTCACTAACCGCTCTGTATCTGTCACCCCTCTCTGCCAATTCCTCCACTGGCTCCCAGTTGCCCACCGGATAAAATTCAAAACACAAACTATGACATACAAAGCCATCCACAACACTGCCCCAATTTACATATCCAATCTTATCTCTAAATATCACCCAAACCGTACACTCCACTCCTCGCAAGACCTCCTACTCTCTAGCTCCCTTATCTCCTCCTCCCATGCTCTTCTCCAAGACTTCTCCAGGGCGTCACCCATCCTCTGGAACTCCCTACCCCAATCTATCAAACTATCACCTACTCTACTTACCTTTAGGCGATCATTGAAAACCTATCTCTTCAGGGAAGCCTATCCCGCCCTCTGCTAATACTGGAATCCTCTACTCTTCCAACCACTCCATCCCCCACAGTTTTACCTATTGTACCACTCACCCTTCCCTCCTAGCTTGTAAACTCCAAGGAGCAGGGGCCTCAATTCCCTCTTGTATTGAACTATATTGTTACTGTATTGTCTCCCACTATAATGTAAAGCGATGAGCAAACTGTTGGCACTATATAAATCCTGTATAATAATAATAATCAGAGATATAGCAGCAACATTAGGAGTGGCCAAATCAACAGTTTGGTACATTCTGAGGAAAGAAGAATGCACTGGTGAGCTCAGCAACATAAAAAGGCATGAACGTCCACGGAAGACAACAGTGGTGGATGATCGCAGGATCCTCTCTATGGGAAAGAAAAACCCATTCACAACATCCAGACAAGTGAAGGACACTCTCCAGGAGGTGGGCGTATCATTGTCAAAGTCTACAATCAAGAGAAGACTTCACGAGAGCAAATACAGAGGGTTTACCACAAGGTGCAAACCATTCATAAGCCTGAAGAATAGAAAAGCCAGATTAGACTTTCCCAAAAAACATCTAAAAAAACAGACCAGTTCTAGAAAAGCATTCTTTGGACGGATGAAACTAAGATTAATCTGTACCAGAATGACGGGAAGAAAACAGTGTGGAGAAGGCTTGGAACAGCTCATGATCCAAAGCACACAACATCATCTGTAAAACATGGTGGAGGCAGTGTGATGGCATGGGCATGCATGGCTTCCAGTGGCACTGGGTCATTGGTGTTTATTGATGATGTGACAGAAGACAAGCAGCCGGATGAATTCTGCAGTAATTAGAGATATACTGTCAGCCCAGATTCAGCCAAATGTAGCAAAGTTGATTGGTAGCGCTTCACAGTACAGATGGACAATGATCCAAAACACACTGCAAAAGCAACCCAGGAGCTTTTGAGGAAGGAAAAGAAGTGGAATATTCTGCAATGGCCGAGTCAATCATCTGATCTCAACCCAATTGAGCATGCATTTCACTTGCTGAATGCAAAACTAAAGGCAGAAAGACCCATAAACAAAGAACAACTGAAGACAGCTACAGTTCTAGCCTGGCAAAGCATCAGAAAGGAGGAAACCCAGTCTTTGGTAATGTCCATGGGTTCCAGATTTCAGACAGTCATTGCCAGTAAAGGATTATCAACAAAATATTAAAAATGAACATTTTATTTATGATTATATTCAATTGTCCAATTACATTTGGTCCTTTAAAAAAAAAAGGGGGGGGGGGGGCTACTCTTAAGAGCTGTAATTCCTAAACCCTTCCTTCACTTTGATTGTACATACCCTCAAATTAAACCTGAGAGTGTGCACTTTCAGCCCATATATACCCCATTATATAACTATTGCTTGAATATGTTTTGGTAAATACCTGAAAAAAAAACTAAAATTGTGCCTGTGTCCAAATATATATATGGACCTAACCGTATATATAAACAGATCCAAAGGTTGCCACTGCACTCTGTTTGAGATAAATGCCCAGGTGCTCACCCACAAAGAAATCCATATAAATCCCAAACTGGTCCAGAGGCACTCTTGGGTCTTGAAGAGGAGGAAGATCAAAAACAGCCGTGTTTTTATTGTCAACATTTCGATGAAGCTCAGTCCATCTTTGTCAAGACTTGTGTCTTGAGAAGGATGGACTGAGCTTCATCGAAACGTTGACAATAAAAAAACACTGCTGTTTTTGATCTTCCTCCTCTTCAAGACCCATGAGTGCTTCTAAGCTTCGAATGGTAGTTTTTCGCTTTCTTCCACGTCTTTCAGGTTTTGGTTGCCATTTTAAAGCATTTGCAATCATTTTAGCTGAGCAGCCTATCATTTTCTGCACTTCTTTATATGTTTCCCCCTCTCCAATCAACTTTTTAATCAAGGTACGCTGTTCTTCTGAACAATGTCTGGAACGACCCATTTTCCTCAGAATTTCAGAGAGAAATGCACTGTAACCAGCATGTACAACATTTGCTGCCTTCCTTCCTTAAATAAGGGCAATAATTGCCACCTGTTTTTCAAAGAATGAATGACCTCACTAATAGAACTCCACACTGCTATTATTTTGAACATGCCCCTTTCAATTAGTGATTCAATTACACAGAATCAGCAGCATACATGTCATGATTGTTGGGTCTGTTGGACCTGCTAGTAAATTATTTGCCATGTAGAAATATAATTTCTACCAAAAACAGTGATTGATCAGGTTAGTGATGTCTGACTGCTATTATTTTGAACACAACTGTATATATGTTTGAAAAAAAGTAGTCCTTAACCGCTAGCCTACAGGGCACTTATACCCCCTTCCTGCCCAGGCCAATTTCCAGCTTTCTGCGCTGTCGCACTTTGAATGACAATTGCGCGGTCATACAACACTGTACCCATTTGAAATTTTTATCATTTTTTTGTGATGGATAGAGCTTTATTTTGGTGGTATTCAATCACCTCTGGGTTTTTTATTTTTTCTTAAACAAACCAAAAACCACTGAAAATTTTGGGAAACAAAAGTTTTTTCTTAGTTTTTGTTATAAAATTTTGTAAATAAGTGATTTTTCTCCTTCACTGATATGCGCTAATGAGGCTGCAGTGGTGGGCACTGATAGGCTGCACCGATGGACACTGATAGGTGGCACTGATGTGCACTGATGAGGAGGCACTGGTAGGTGGCACTGATGGGCATCGACAGGCATCACTGATGGGCACTGAAAGGCAGCACTGATACATGGCACTGATATATGGCACTGATAGGCGGCACTGATAGGCAGCACTGACTGGCACTGATAGGCAGCACTGACTGGCACTGACAGGCGGCACTGACACGGCACTGATAGGCGGCACTGATGCGCACTGATAGGCAGCACTGACTGGCACTGATAGGCGGCACTGATTGGCAGCACTGATAGGTGGCACTATTTGGCATTGATACGTGGCACTGACTGGCATTGATGGGTGACACTGTAAGACAGCTCAGATGGGCACTGATATGTGGCATTGATGTGCACTGGTAGGCACTGATATGTGGCATTGATGGGCACTGGCACTGGCACGAGGCACTGATGGACACTGACAGGTGGCACTGCTGGGGCTACACTGATCATCAGGGCACACTGATCATCAGTGCCCTGATGACCAGCGTACATGTCCCCTCCGCGGAAAGCCGATTACCGGCTCTCCTCTCGAGCTGTCAGCGTGACAGCTCGAGAGGAGAGAAATGCCGATAACCGGCATTTCCCTGTTTACAGGTGATCAGCTGTGATTGGACACAGCTGATCACATGACTGAGCCGACATCTTCGGCTCTTTCCATGATCGGTGATCCACCGCAGATCACCGCGCTGTGCGCTCCCTGAGCCGCGCCTGCGCGGTGAGAATGGGAGGATGTCATGTGATGTCCTCCCAGAACAAGAGAACCACCTTGCGCCCGTCATTGGACTATATGGCGGGCGGGAGGTGGTTAAAGTAAGAAAAGTCTTTAAAAGGCCGACCGGATTATGAAGGAAAATGCAAAAAGCAAAATGAGCAAATTTAAACAGCAAATAATTATTGTAACTTATATAGAAATAAATTGAATTTCCCTTACTAAGGTCACAGCAGTATAAGACATATTCTGACTGATTGTGCCTAGTTACTTTACTTGGCCGTTTTACCAAAGAAGCTTAATTATTTATATTGGTATTTGCTGTAGCAATGTAGTATCCCAGCAATAATAGATCGTCGATGACAATATGTCTTTAAGATGTTTTGTTAAAATGCCTTATCTGTCTGGGGAATTCCAGTATGTTTATTGTGTGTACAGTGCCTTGAAAAAGTGTTCATACCCCTTGAAAGTTTCCACATTTTGTTATGTTACAATCAAAAACGTAAATGTATTTTATTGGGATTCTATGTGATAGGCCAGCACAAAGTGGCACATACTTGTGAAGTGGAAGGAAAATGATAAATGATTTTCAACATTTTTTTACAAATAAATATCTGAAAAGTGTGGTGTCAATACTTTGTAGAACCACCTTTCACTGCAATTATAGCTTCAAGTCTTTTTGGGGATGTCTCTACCAGCTTTTCACATTTAGAGAGTGACATTTTTGCCCATTCTTCATTGCAAAATAGCTCAAGCTCTGTCAGATTGGAAGGAGAGCATTTGTGAACAGCAATTTTCATGTCTTTCCACAATTTGGATTTAGGTCTAGACTTTGACTGGACCATTCTAACACATGAATATGCTTTGATCTAAACTATTCCATTGTAGCTCTGGCTTTATAACAAGTTTTCTTCTAAGATTGCCCTGTATTTGGATGCATCCATCTTCCCATCAACTCTGACCAGCTTCCCTGTCCCTGCTGAAGAAAAGCATCCCCACAGCATGATGCTGCCATCACCATGTTTCACAGTGGGGATGGTGTGTTCAGGGTGATGTGCAGTGTTAGTTTTCCGCCACACATAGCGTTTTGCTTTTAGGCCAAAAAGTTAAATTTTGGTCTCATCTGACCAGAGCACCTTTTTCCACGTGTTTGCTGTGTCTCCCTCATGGCTTCTGGCAAACTGCAAATGGGAATTCTTATGGCTTTCTTTCAACAATGGCCGCTTTCATAAAGGCCAGATTTGTGGAGTGCACTCACATTCACACACATTGCAGCTTTGTAACTGACAGCCCGTTTGAAGGTACAGACTGAAAGCAGCAGGGCTTATCTGCAGAAGTCTGACATTGTACCCCTGATCCACTGATCATGGGTGCAATGCTTTTCTGGCTCCTAATAAAAAAAAAAATAAATGTGCATTTTGTTTTCTCCAAAAATATGCACATGTATTATTTTTTCTGGTAATAAGTGGTGTTTACTATGTGCTCAAAGTTCTTTATTAGGTATTTTACATTTGAGGTTTACTTCAAGTGGTCATTTTTAAGTTCATTAACCCTTACCAACCAATCATATTGCACTGATCATATTTTTGCTGAAGAAGATTTGGCACTTAAAGTGTATCTGTCCATTTGGCACTCAGGGTAAGACAGACAAGAAGCAGGAGAGCACAGAGAAGGTATTGCAGGGAGGGTGGCCTGTGAAAAGAACTGAAACTGTAAATCTAGTGCCATGGCTACACACCATCTCTCTCTCTCTCTCTCTCTCTCTCTCTCTCTCTCTCTCTCTCTCTCTCTCTCTCTCTCTCGCAACACTGGAAAAAATGCTAAGCCACCTGGCTACGCTGCAGCAGCATTGGTGCTCTTGTCAGGTTACTTGAGACCCAAATCCCTGGGTCTCTTGGCTCACACAACTTTTTGCTACGGCACCTCTTTTCACAGGCCTACTCATGGCCAAATTATCTCACTCTTCCAGAGACTTATGGATTCCCTCCAGCCCCCTGAACTCCCTAGCCACCTCAGCTTTCTTGATCTCTGCAGAAATTTGCAGTTCCCAACTCTCCCAGCCCTGTGGCAAGGAATTTTTCTCAATATGGGGTGCAATCTCTTGGTAGGAACACAGAGAGCTATCCTGACAAGACTCTGGCTCCAAAATTGAAGTCCTGAGCTATGCTCAGGCCTTGCTTTTAACGAGCATGAACAACTGTGTACTCACACCGCCTGCGGGTCTCCAGTAAGACTTGGACACAGAATTGAAGACTTCATCTTAAATAGTTACATAGTTAGTCTGGCTGAAAAAAAAAAAACAAAAGTCCATCCAGTTCAACCATTAAAAAAAAAAAAAAAGTTATAATCCTATACCCACAGTTAATCCAGAGGAAGACAAAAAAAAAACAGCAAAGCATGATTCAATTTGCTCCTGCTGGGAAAAAAAATCCTTCCTGATCCCCAGAGAGGCAATCAGATATTCCCTGGATCAACTTTACCTATAAATGTTAGTATCCAGTTATATTCTGTGTATCTAGGAAAGAATCCAGGCCTTTTTTTAAAGCAATCCACTGAGCTAGCCAGAACCAACTCATGAGGGAGTCTATTCCACATTTTCACAGCTCTCACTGTGAATAAACCTTTCTGTGTTTGGCGATTAAATTTATTTTCCTCCAGATGTAAAGAGTGCCCCCTTGTCCTCTGTGATGACCTCAGGGTGAATAGCTCTACGCCGAGTTCACTATATGAACCACTGATGTATTTATACATGCTGATCATATCCCCCCATAATCTCCTCTTCTCAAGAGAGAATAAATTCAGTTCCTCTAATCTTTCCTCATAGCTGAGCTCCTCCATGCCTCGTATCAGTTTGGTTGCCTTTCTCCAGTTCCCCAATGTTGTTTTTGTGAATTGGTGCCCAAAACTGAACTGCATATTCCAGATGAGGTCTTACTAATGATTTGTACAGGGGTAAAATGATATCTCTCTCTGGAGTCTAGAACTCTTTTAATACAAGAGAGGATTTTGCTCGCGTTAGAAACCGCAGCTTGGCATTGCATGCCATCTTATCCAAATATCTTCGAAGTCTCCAAGCTCCAGACTCTTCTCTGGATTACAAAACCTGGAGAAAGCTGTAGAATCATCTCTGCTCATACCAAATTCTCTAGAGCACTCTGCCTTAGTGCAAATCCTGTGTACCTTTTTGCTAACCTCGCACCATGGCAGGGTCTTGCACTGTCACACATAGTACTGGCATCACAGCTTGAGACCTGTCCAGATTTGCCAACCTAGACACGCTGTTGTGATTTCCTATGGCTTTGTACCTGGGCTCTAATAAAAGCCTTAACACATTCTGATTTCTTCCATCTTTGCCTATACATCTTTGCCTTCACTAGCAGCATTATGTAGAAAGATGTGTTAATGCCTAGAGATCAGTAATCTCATTGGAACTACAATCTGTTCTTTGCTTCTGAAGCCAAGGCAGAATGGAGAGGAGCCATTTCTGGGCACATATTTTTCTTCAATATTCAGCATTGCAGAAAAAGTGGTTGAGATAAAGGTGTACTTGGAGATTAGATAGTTGAATCGGTATTATGACTGTGCAGACAGAACTTTGTCTTTAGTCATGTTTCTGTTATTTTTCCATTTCTCAGATTTGTTAATTTATTCCTGTTTCTTAGAAGTATATTTTCTATCATCCAAGTCTCACGAGTCCTGGAGCCAGAGATGAAAGATATGTGAAACTGGTTAGTCTGGGAGACATATGTCGTGTTCATTGAGGCGTGTTTGATATGTTTAATGTCTTTGGTGACAGTATGTTAAACTTTTTGTATGCCCTAATATGAAAGAACGAAAACATCATTTGCAGGGAATTTTAAGATGAATTCCGGAGGCTGACCAGGGATCTGTACAGCTACACTTATTAAAGAACAATTCAAGAGATGTCTGCAGTGACATATTAGGTATCCATTTACAACTGTAGCTTCTTGGACCATTATGATCCTGGTGGCATATGAATTCTAGTCTGATGTGAGGTCATTATAAAGGACAGTATGTTGTTGGTTATTTACAGTGTGCCAAGGCAACCATACTTTTGAATAAAGACATAGTTTCATTCCTTAGATTATTTATTTTTCCATTTTATTTATTACAGGTACTTATATAGCGCTGTCAATTTATGCAGCGAATTTTACACATATATATTGCACATACACATCAGTCCCTGCCTTCAAGGAGCTTACAGTCTAAGGTCCCTAATTCACATTCATATATACAGTACACGTATTAGGGCCAATTTAGACAGGATCCAATTAACTTACCAGCATGTCTTTGGAGTGTGGGAAGAAACCAGAGTACCCGGAGGAAGTCTACACAGGCACATGGAGAACATGCAAACTCTGGCAGGTAGTGCTAAACACTTTGCCACTGTGCTGCCTGGTTACTATTTGATATTATATTGTATGTATCTTATTGCTTATGGTAATTCTAAAAAGCTTTTTATTTCAATTGTACAGTACAGGACACAAGCAACTTATTCACACACCATAGGTTATACCTTAGTACCCTCAGGTGATTGGACACTGGCAAACTTTTGAGGAAATGTGGCACGCACGGGGAGCCTTCTTGGCCAGTAGAACACGATTACTGCTAGCATGGAAAAAAATCTGACAGGTTGGTTGTACTCAAGTCAATTGATGGATCAACTTGGGTACAATCAGCCTGCTGATACATGAATCGAAAATGGACCGGTCCCTGCTGAACCAGCCGAAGTTTGATCAATGCATGGCCGGGTTAAATCCCTGTTCACACCTATGCACGCTTCTGTGAATCACATTTAGGGCACCCCATTCATTTCAATTTCTTTTTTTTTTTCTCCGCACCAATACGCATGGTACTTTGTTACCCTGCATTTTTTTGTTTGCACTTTAGCAAGGTTGTGTCAGGGTGCCATGAAGAATAAATGGGATCACTGCACGCCTGCACAAGGGATGCACATTT